TCTAGTTTACCACTAATATACTTGATAGTTTCTCTTATTTATTTTTTTGGCTCTGAGAGCCAAGAGCCTGTAGGAGAAAGTTAGGGCTTATATCTACCCATACAGAATTCAGATGTCTGTTGTCTGTAGAAGACTTTAGGCACCATTCTACAGGCTCTGGCTGAAAATTTACTGGGATGTTGCATTGGTGTTACTGAAATTGGAAGAGTTAGGTTCAGAGACAAACCTGGCTTTGAGATGCTAATGAGCATTGAAGATGGCAGTATTTGAACACCTCAGAGTCAATTTGGTGGAGGGACGTCAAGGGAACAATACAGAGATTGGGGGTGTATACTCTTAGTTCATTTTCTTCACTGTGGTAGCTCTTATTCTTGGAAATTAATTGCAGACTGTTGCCACGTACAGAGCACTAGTGTAAATGTGTTCCCTGCACTGAGTACTTAGTAATGATAATAATTAACAATAGAGACATGCAAACAGTTTTCATTTAATAGTAGAGTTGCCTGCAAGTGTTTCCATTGTTAAGCTCTTGTCAGAGCTTTGTACTTTTAATTAAAGGGAAGCTGATGCCGGTAGAAAGGTGTTGGATTGACATTCCCTGAAAATGAAATCTTCTGCTTAGCTGCTAAAAAACAACAGACAGAGCTACCTGACTATAATACATACTTTGCTACTTTTAGAATAAATTTGGGAGAGCCAAGCTCCATACTCATCTAGAGATATTGCTTGTGGTTTTAAAACGTTGTTCAAAAATGACTTAATCAACAGGTGGGAGAGTTTTGCGTTATGGACTGGGTTTGGGGAGATCTGGGTTTTAATTCCTTCTCTATGACACGTGCTAGGTGACATTCGCAAGTCACCACAGCTCCTCAGGAAGTTCAGGGCATCTGACACTTCTAGTACACCCTGCTTCAGGTCTGAGGAAGGGATGAACTGTGCCTATGAAGTGTGTGTTTCTCTCCATGGCTGTACAGGAATTTGAGACAACTACCTCATCTGTAGTGATGGTTTAGTTCACCAAAACACAGGTATCTAAAGCAGAATTTCATCTGCAAGATGTTTTTCATTGGAATACTGAGATTTCAGATGTTAAGACTGAATTTTTATGTCCTGAGTTGAAGATCCAGCTTTTTTAGCCTAAAGCCTGCATAGACTAACATACTAAGGAGTAATGTTCTAGGGCAGATTCTCAGTGGGGAAGCACAGATATCACTTTCACTGCCATTTTAAAAATCATGGTATGGTATTAAAGCAGTGGATTAGTTACCAAATCTATGAAGGCATATAGTTAATGAAAGAAGTATCACAGAGATAGTGAACTTCACAGGAAGGGGCAAACTTGACTTTACTCTTAATATTTCATTATGCTCCAGGGAACATGTTGGAAGATTTGTGTCTTTGCATTCTTGCTGTAAGAGATTAAATGGAAAAAAAATATTTCCAATAAAACATGTTTTTAAGTTACATCGGAATTCATCTTGCCCCTAAATCTCTTGGCAGCACTGGAGTTTTAGTATTTCCATGGCTGCAACTAAATCCATTTCCTAATTCACACTCCAGGTAACAATCAAGATGCCCTAGCAGCTATAATCTCTAAACCTGAAAGTTTAGAGATTTTTAAATCTCTTATGGTTTTTAAACCATAAGTTTGCATTTTGTTAACATGTTTAGGATAAAGTCTTTGGTAGAAAACTTTTCAAAACTCCCCTCTGAATTGCATGCTTATATAAATATTGGCGAAAGGTGTAGATTATATGCATAATCTCCTTATATAGCTGAATGCCCTTTTGAATTTTGCCAGTCTGCTTCTGCATTGCGCTTGTGATCCCCAGCATGACAGTCATATCTGGATTAAACAAAACAGGGGATAATACATCTCATCCCCAAAGCAAACCTGATCTTTGCTTTCAACATTCTCTGTTTTGATCTTGCATTTTCATTTTGCATACATATATATCTTTGTGTGTCTCTGTGTGTATGCTCATTTTCAATCTGCATACATTCCTTCATATAATCTTATTCAAGCTTAGTTCTAACTCCTTTGTTTTTTCAAGTCACATCACCCTTGCTGGAATTACCCTATCCTATTTGAAGGTAATCTTCAAAAACCTAGTGCTTAGATATCAGATGCTTACCCTAATTTAGCAGTGAAGAATCATTTGCTAGTTCCCCTGACTTCAGTTGCAATTGTACTACCACATCTGCTTACTTTAGCAGCAGAAGGTGTAATAGTTACCCAAGTTTTCCTACAATTAAGGAGAATCAATTGGATTAAAAAAAAAAATAAAAGAACACCAGAAACACCAGGAAACAAGACAGGCCACAAAAGCCAAGGATGTATGGAGGTATGATGACCCAAAGGAATTTTCAAAAGCAATTATTATGAGTCTATTTAAAAGTAAGACACCCTTTGAGAATCATGTGGAATAGAAATAGTCAATCATTTTGTGATTCACTGCAATGAAGTGTAACTTCTTTGTCTTACCCTGTGTTTCAAGAAACAATTTCTCAGCCTCATACTAGGGACAAACAATATAGCAAGATTTCAGAAACATGGAAACTGAATTTAACATCAAAATCCTGAGAAAGACTGTTGAAATTTTATAATCTGTATGTTCCAGACAGATTCATAACTAGCACCGTAAAAAGACTATATTGGTATAGTTTTTTTAGTTGAAATGGGTTTTGTTTTTAGCTAAAACATATACCCTTCTGCTTGTGTATTACTAACAGGTGTTTTATACCAGTCTCCCTCTAATCCTGCTACAGAGGAATAGTAAAGTAGCAAAACCATCTTTATTCCACTCTATCTTTATCATTTTAGCCATACCCATAAAGTGGTGTAAGCAATCAGATGAATTCTGACACAAAGGGTCCCAGCCTGAACCAGGTATCTGTTACAGCTTTGCTAATTTCCCAGTGAACGATCAACCAACAGTTGTAGCAGCTGTGATAAGAGGATTCTTGTTTACAACAACATTCCAGATAGCCTGCTTTTGTTTTAATAGCACGTTTTTCATCTTCAGTCTAGGAGTCTGTCATAGAGAGGTACTATAAATTACTGCCACAGCATGCTCCTTACCACCTACAGTCTTTCTGTGGCAATATATGACCCATAAATCTTACTGACATTCTTTTCCATGGCTCTTTTAATGTTCTCCCCTTTCTCTCTCCCTCTTCTCCCCTTCTTTGCTGTGAACAACTCCAACAGGTTTTGTTTTGTTTTAAAAAATGGGCAAAAAGCATGAAACAAAATGGAATCAGATTTTGTGGGGAAACCTGGCTGTGAACACACTAAATTAATCAGCTCCAGATAAAGAGTCCTGCTTCTTTAAGCACTTCACAGCCTAGGAATTGCCGAAGGTTTTGGCATGGAAAATAAGCTCATTTTAGCATAATATCAGTAATAGATTTGGTCCTAGCATTTCAGTAATCCAGTTCATTACAGATTTCTTTCCAGATATCACTCTGTGTTCTGGGTAAATGGTTGCCACATGTTCTGCAAGAAATGGAATTACGTTAACTTCTTGGGATAACTTTATGTCATTGAAGTAAACTTGGTTGGTGGCCTCTGGAGATCCATTATCAGTTTCAAGCACACTAACTCACAAAGAGATAATATATACACACAAAAGACTGTAAGAATTAATTTCATTGTATTTAGAATGAATAGATTCTTTCCAAACTAGTAGCATCCACTTAGCAAGAAATTGCTTAAATGATCTATATGATAATTTCTCCCCAGATCTTCCCATTGGCTTATTGGACAATTTGACAATGTCACAGATAGATGCTTCTATTATTTCTTATTTCATTATTTATTTTGCTTTTTGTTCTGTTACATTTATTCTATTTAGAGAGTAACACCTCTGCCAACTGCAGTTTAATTGGTATCTAAGACCTGGCCTGCATTTACATTTTACTAGAATAATAATGTTGGTAAGGATTTTTTTAATAAAAGGATTATGCTGCTATGAACACTTTTGTGGATGCAATTAGGTTAGTATAAAAGTGATTTATACTGATTTAGTTCTTCCCCTACTCTATGGTAATAGCTATCTAATTATAAAGTATGTTTATACTGACACAATTGTATCCACAATCCTGGTACGCTTTTTCATTCTTCATTTGTCTTAATGTAAATTCTGTCAAAAGAAAATGACACATGCACATACATACACCCACAAGCAAGATCATCAAAGTCCTGAAAATCTATTTGGTCAAATTCATCAGAAGATAATTCTGTCTCTGGGGCTTTAATCTCTAAAGAGCAAGATCAGTTTGTGGTGATCGTAACTGCTTGATTTGCATTGTAGCAGCCATAAAAGACTCCCACAGTGCATAAAAAAACACCATTTGGGGAACTTCCTTGAAGAAAATGGGATCAATAGCACTATAAGGAGCTAAATTGCTGTTACTGAAAATGTATACTAGATTAACTTAACCCTTTAAACTCTGCATACAGCAGATGTAATAAAACTCTTAAATCAAACTGTACTGATGAAAGATTTAAGAGTATCTGCCATGCAGTCCTGTGATCTCCAATGGAATAAACAAAGCTCTGAACAGATGGCATACAGTGAACTGATAGCGTCTCTCTCTCTTTTTTAAAAAATATGCTCCTCATTAGGCACCACCTGGAATACGGTGCTCTGTTCTGCACCTCCCAATGCTTAAAGGCCAGACTACACGGCGGGGAGGTAATCCAGGAGCATTTGGAGATGTTGTAAGGGAAAACAGAGCTTTGAAAAGGGGTAACCCAGTTAGGGGGCAGGACTGTGGACACTAAAAAGTCACCGTTGTTGATGCCAATTCTCAACAAGCCATAGCGATGGTGGCAAGGAGTGTCTTCCCCCAAAATCTGTGCTGGGTGAAGAAGTGGGGCAGGGCAGGTCTGTTACTGGCCTTACCTGGAGCAGCCAGCATCTGGCCCTTGGCAAAGCTACAGGGAGAAGGCTCACTGACAGAAACCTGCTTGGCTTTAGGTGCTCATGGAGACCTGGGCTTACTGTGGTGGCAAACGTGAGGTGAAGCAAGCAGCATGGGAGAGGGTTAGTAAATATATGGCTTGCTTAGCTCTCATTCTGCTGAGGGCAAAGGGTGCTCCTCCTGGGCTCTGGCTGAGCTGCTTTTAAACCAAGATTTTTGTGTGTGTGTGGTGGGGCTTTTCAGGGGCTGGGAGAGCTTTGTATGGGGTTAGGGACTTTAGGGGATTTGTGGGTCCTGCCTTGCAGCCCTGCCTTGGCGTGAGCTCTGGGCAAACCCCTGCAAGCCCTCAGGGCAGAATAGCAAAGCCAGCCTTGTAGAGGCAAAGGAAAAACAAATAACAAGCTTAAAAAGCAAGCAAACTGCATAATTGGCCTGTTCTTTACAACTTGGGGTGGGCAGGGAGTCTTGCCGCAGGTGCGGACCCAGCTGGGCACCTGCCCCAGGTGCTGCCGCCAGCACAGGGGCCGTTAACGGAAAGTTCCAGAAGGGACAGGAAGCGAGGAGGGCGCTGGGCTGTGGTGCTGAGTGGAGGTAAGCAGCCTTTGGGTTTAAAAAACAAACAAAAAATAATTATTTTGTATCTTTTAAATTGAATCTGCCGCTTTCTAGTGTGTGGGGCTTCTTGTATCGTGTTTGTTTGTTTTGTTTTGTTTTGTTTTTTGTCTGTGGCTTATAGGAGCGTGCAGCTGGGAGGTCTCTGAGGCGTTAAACACGGCTTTTTTCTTGGTGATTTTCAAATCCAAGCCTGTGTTTGTGAAGGAGAAGGGGAACTTTGTATTGAGAATTCTGTGTATTTCAAACAGTGTGCAAAGGTGGAAATAGAGGAAAAAAACAGAAGGGCTATTGTGCAGGCTGCTGAAAGTGTTCTTGAGTCTTGCTCGGTAATTTGAAAGTTAAGTGGATTGCAAGCAGAGCAGTCAGAGCAATTAGCTGGGCTAATGTGACCACAATAAATGTAAAAAGTAGTCAATGCTGGTGAAAGAAATTGGCTGTTGTTAAAGTCCAAAAATAAATAAAAAAAGGGCCATTACGGAAAGGTCAGTTCAGGGGAATAATATTCAAGTAGATGTTAAAAGAAACAATTGCACTAATTGATGCTTAATTTTATGAATGCTTCAAGAGCCATGAGTGAGGTGGGAATTGGGCAGCAAAAGGGAAGCTCAAAAACTTTGAATTTAAGGCATCTGAAATGCTTCTGGACTGGGCTGGCGGGGTGGCTGGATGCAGCGCTGTGGCGCGTGAGGTTCGCTGGTTTTGAAGCGTTCTGCTTCTGTGTGGAGAAGGAACATGGCACGCACGAAAAGCCTTCCTTAACAAAAGCATGAAGTGTCCAGCACATGGAATAACATTGCCCACAGGCTCCCTGTGTGTATGTTTTATGGAGATCCTTTCCCTTATGCTAACCATCTGTTAAGTCAGCCACAATAAAACGGTCGAATTCTTTAGCTTGCTGTTGTACCCCCCAAATGCAGCCTTATTTCTTACAGGCATGAGTTTGGTTGGATGTTGTTTCTGTAGAAGGTGTCAGTTACCAGTGTGGTTTATTTTTTGGGTGTCTGTTGTAATAATTTGTGCTGGATATGGTCAGTGCCAATTGGTTAAATTGGATTTTGGATCCTATGCTATGTGGTCAGTTAATATTATTTGTTTTGATCTGATTAAGTTCCTTAATACCATTCAAGATTCAAGCATTTCTCCAGTTATGATTTTTAATAAAGATTAAGCATAAGCAGTCTTTTGGGTCTCTGTATAAAATGTTCTATAGTAACACCAAGCTGCAAGGGTATTTAAGCACTAGGAATGAAGAAGGTGAGGTACGTAGATGAAGTGCTATGGTAACTTTTCATGTCCAAGAATAAAGATTAAAATAAAGGGATTCTAGTAAAAGTTACTTGAATTGCCCTTAAGCCATACAGCATGATCTAATTCTGAGATCATAAAAGGAAAATCCTCCTTGAGGCATGCCCACAGTAGAGAATTGGGAGAGCAGGAATCCTGCTGCTGGTAGGCAGGTGGCCAAGGATGGAGCAGAGCCACAGATGATCTCCCTGGTACCCCCCATCCTGTGCTGGGGGTTGTGAAGAGATGGACAGACAGCCAAGGGTCTTCCCATTGCCTCTCATCCCTTTCCATTGATGCGCTAGCTTGTTCCCCGTGCAGTTCCTGTTAGACCCAATATTTACTAGGGAGGAAAATCTGCCAGGATCTGGCTGATGCTGAATGGCAAGAACACAAGAAGGGAGCTGAGGCTTTTCCGAGATGCCAATGGGACAGCAAATCAATATCCTTGTTCAAAGAGCAGAATGAGCGGAGTTTAGAGTGAAACTAATGGGAGGACCAGGAAAGAAAAGCTTCAACTGCTGTTGCCATGACAAATAATGACAAAAAATGACTGAAGTATTTTAAAGGTAATGTTGCAATAGAAGATAACCTGTGAGTTGCTTGGTTATAATTGGGCTGGGCTCTGTCAGCACTTGTTAGGGTTGAGAGCAAGCGCTCTGCAGGATGCGCCAACAGTACGTGCGCTGGGTGATGCACAGAGGGGGAGATAATGTTGTTGTGAAAAGGCCCTGAATTTAATTCTCCTGGAAGCAATTTTTTTAATTCATGCTGGGAGGAGTATGGGTAGGCAGCCTCACGTAGTGCCCAAAGACAATTGGTAATTGGGAGTCCTGAGCGGTTTTGGGAAGGGGAATGTAACACAGCAGACCAGATAACTAGAAGTTGGGCTGTCTTGCTGTTCCTTCATTTGTTGTTTCTGTAGTGTATTGTTCTGGGAAGTTGCTTTGCTTTTTTGTCACCTTTCTAGATGAATAACATAAAATAGAAGTAGTGGTGTTTTGAAACGTGTGTGAGGGAGTGCAAGTTGAGGGGGAAGAAGAGGGAAGAGAAAATGGTTGTTGATGTTTGTTGGTGTTTCCCCACTGGGTGAGGAAGGCTGAGGGGTGAGGCATTGCTTGCTGCTTCAGTAATGATAATTAGTTGGATGAAGATGTGCACTTTAGTATTACAGAAGTGCTGCAACAAGTATAACCAGCAGGACTGCAGACCCATCACTTCGCATTTCTAAAGTGATTTCTGAATGAGTTTTCTTTTTCTCCCATTGATCAGAATGAATTTTAGATGTAGTCAACATGGAGCCTTTCTCTTATCTTCTGATCCATATCCAAACTCAAATTTTAAGTGTGTGGATGAGCAATCTCTGTATGCCGCAACTTGAGTTTGAGGAGGATGCAAAATGAAACCAGTTGTGGGGGTGTGGAGGTTTTGTTTGTTTTAAGTCACACCTGGTTGCATTCTACCTGATGGCAATTCATCTACACAATATAAAATGGCAGCAACATAGTAGATTTTTATTATTATTGTTTGAGAATATACAAGTAACTACCAGAACTGAAATGTAAGATAGTATCTAAGAGATAGGAAGAAAAGCTAAGAGTGGCCAAGTGTGCGTGGAAAACTGTAGGCATCCAAGAGTGGTATTCTGGGAGCTACAGACTTAAAATATATATATGTATACTGTTTAAAAATAAATAAATAAATAAATCCTTATTGGTATTCTTTTACCATGTGCTGTACCTTCCTTGTGTTTTGGGACCGTTCATCTGCTAACCCCATGGTGCTGATAGCAGGTGTCAGTACAGCTAAATCTTGTAATCAAGGGAGTACAAAGATTGTCAGCAGAGATTGACCCAAACCAAATCCCTGTTTGTGAGATCACAGGCAAGATACCAGTCTGAAGTCAGAATCGGCCATTGATGCTTGTTATGGTGGAAGCCAGCTGAGACCTTAGGAAAGTTCAAATCCTATATGGAACGTTGTCTGGGTGTTGTTTGAATAGTTGTCCTATTGAGATTTTCTGCAGTAAGCCAGGCCAAATTTACACACAAAGTTTCCAACAAGGGTTTTGATTTGCTTTCTCAGGGCTTTGGAATGAAATTGCTTTGGCCACAATAGCTTTATTAAATTCCCTCTGATAGTTACCTTTGTAAACTGCTTCTCATAGGACAGTGTTATGAGAATAGAAAACAAGTCATCTGTCTGCACTGGGATGGGATGGGCTGTTTGTAATTTAAAAATAGTCAGTACTTTCTTCCATGTGATAAAGGCTTATATGGCAAATCTCTTGCTGTATTCAAAATCAAATGTATGTACTTCAGGATTTTTTCCCTTCTTCAGTCATTCCAAGTAGATTTTTTTTGTTTTTTTAAGAAAAGACTGTAGGCAACTCATGTCAACAGGCTGGGTTTTAGGCACTGCACAAATACTGGTAGCTAGTAGTTTATTTTGCAGGTTCGAAGTCTGTTCTGTGTTCTTTGAGAAAGAGGCTGAATGAACTAGTACCATTTTCAATGCAAAAATAATCCTGTAATATAGGAAGTGCATAATGGTTAATACTCGTACTGCTCCCGTTGGCCTGTAATGACCACAGACCGTCAGAATGAAATAATTCCAACAGGGAGTGACTTTACAGCAATAATAGTATATGGGAAAGCATCAAACATTCATGACCATACCTGAGGCTTTCTAGTCCATAAACCTTCTTTGAACTCAAGTAATAGAGTTACCAAAAAGACAGAGCAACTGTTCGTCATAAATGTGCTGTATTCATAGGCTTCACTGAAATGCTGTAGTATATGGAGTACATCGGTGTAATTTGGTCTAGTGTATAACAGATTAGCCAATACCCAATTTCTGTTTTTTTTTTTTTTTTTTTTTTTTTTTCCTGTCTTTTTCTCTTGTTGTTTAACCCTAGCTGGCAGCTAAACACCACACAGCTGCTTACCTACCCCTAAGCAAGATGGGGGAGAGAACCAGAAGGGTTAAAGTGAGAAAACTCATGCGTTCGTATAAAGTCAGATTAATAGGTAAAGCAAAGCTGTGCACACAAGCAAAGCAAAATAAGGAATTCATTCACTGCTTTCCATTGGCAGGCAGATATTTAGCAGGTTATAGGATTGCAGGGCTCCATCGCGTGTAACAGTTACTTGAGAAGACAAATGCCATAACTCAAATATGTTTTCCCTCCCGACCCCCTTCCTGGTCCTTTTGCTCAGCTTCTGTTGCTGGGTGTGATGTCCTGTGGTGTGGAATGTCCCTTTGGGCAGCTGGGGTCCCAGCTGTGTCCCCTCCCGGCTCCTTGTGCACCCCAGCCCACCCGCTGGCAGGGCGGTGTGAGGAACGTAAAGACCTTGACCCTGTGTAAGCCCCACTCAGCAGCAACTAAAACATCGATGTGTTACTGACGCTGTTTTCATCACAAATCCAAAACATAGCATCACACCAGCTGCAGTAAAGAAAATTAACTCTATCCCATCTAAAACCAGCACACTCTTAAGGGTGAGCATTTTATTTGATTCTGATTTGTAATCCTTCTAGGGTATATAGAACATGTAGAACTTTGTAATGTCACTTCTATTTTAATTGAAAGCCAAAAAATGCATGTTTTTGTCTTTTATTTCTAGAATCTTTCACAGGACACTTTCTTATACCAAGATTGACGAAATCTTAAATATACCAATGTGGTAGTT